CCTATCCTACCCGGCTCATCAGGAGGGTGCAGGATTGGGTGCAGTGGCTCATACCTGTAATCCCAGCACTTTGGGAGGCCCAGGTGGGTGGATCACTTGAGTTCAGGAGTTCAAGACCAGCTTGGGAAACATGGTTAAACCCACCTTTACAAAGAATATGAAAAACTAGACAGACATGGTGGTGCATGCCTGTCATCCCAATTACCCAGGCAACAGAGGGGGGAGAATCACCTGAGCCCCGGAAGTAGAGGCTGCAGTAAGCCATAATTATATCACTGCACTCCAGCCTGAGTGACAGAGTGAGGCTCTGTCTCAAAAAAAGAAAAAGAAAGAGAGAGAGAGAGAGAGAAGAGAGAAGAGAGAGACAGAGAGAGAGAAAGGAAGGGAAGGGAAAAGAAAAGAAAAGCAGAAAGAAGAAAAAGAAAGAAAGACACTATGATGGAATAATAAACACAGTTACTTGAGGGTCAGAGAACTTTCCTCGCCTCCTTGGCCCGTGGCATGGACTTTGTCTTCCTGGCCCCAATATTAGCATATTGGACCACAGGCAGGTGTGACAAAGTCATAGCCACCTGTATACAGGAGGTAGCTGTCAGGCCTCCTGGCTCGGTTCGTGTGTCCCTTGTCACTTGCAATAATAATGTCCATGGAGTGTCTATGCCTGTCACAAGCCGCTGACAGTCTTGCCTATGTATTTGGACATGTTTCTCTGGATTCACTGTTCTCAGCCCCAGCCTTGGTCTCCTTTAGGTCAGCTTGTCCCAGCTAAGCAGTCACCTTGAAAGCAGGACATAAACACTTCTACCTTTATCTTGCTTATAAGTTTTCCTAAACAAGGCTGGGCCCACCCTGTGAGTGGCCAATGTTTCTGTGTAGCACCGCAGATCCTTTTCTATGCAAGGGTTGTTAGAATTTATCCATCAGTTCAGTCTCCTATATAAATTTCTCTAACCATTCATTGACCATGATATATGATGAGATAAATCAGTATTGCAACAACACATCTGGAGAGTAGTTAGGGCAATTTTTGAAGATCTTGTGGAAAAAGTTTTGTTTAATTGTTGACACAGACTTAGGTCAGAGGATAGGTGATTATGATCTACCAGATGGGAGAGATTTTATCCCATGGATCTGAAAAGAAGGCTCATCTACTTCTGAAAATAAGTCAGAATGCTCCTGTCAAAATGTCACATTCTTACACTGAGGATATTTATGTCTTGCGCCACGACTGGACATTGATTTGGTCTTGTGTCAGGTGTGATTTCCTTACTGTGACCTGCTCTTCTGAATTTGTTTACAGAAAATCAAAATGATCATGAGGAAGAGGAGGGGAAAGCACCAGTGCCCCCCAGGTAACTGTGGATTTGTGGGCTGTTAGTTCAGTAATGACACCTGGACACCACAGATCCAGGGAAAATACGAAGTGATGAATCGAATTGTCTCATCCATTCATCCAACTGCAAATTACCCCTTTCACAATGTTGTCTTCTTTATTGTGGTACTTCAATAGGTTTCAATTTATTAATCCCTCTCAAGCATAGGAACTGACAATCAGTTGAGCCAGGTGAACAGACCAAACTCAGGGATTTCCTGATCTGAGCTGTGGTTTCCCATGTGATTAATCCAGAGTGAGATACATATATGTTTTCTGTATGTTTTGTGTCAGCATGTTGGCAAGTACTTGAATGCAAATGAGAAAATTAAACATAAAAATTTCATATGTCAAAACATTGAAAAAAACAGGACTTTAAAAATGCAGGATCTGTGTGTCTGGAATGCCTAAACATGTCTGTTCACTTGGATGCTGCATGTAAATGTCAACGCCATTTGTGTGAAGGAAGTGAAGGCCTGTGTTAGTTCTCTCTGCTGCAAGTCATGCTGCTAGTTTACAGGGAGAGTCTGGGTTTCCTGCAGCAGCTGTTTGTGGCAAGTGCACTGAGCACCTGCTGCTGCAGTTTGCTCTGTCTCCAGGACAGTCATATCCACCCCACATTTAGAAGGATGAGTTTTCTCTCTTGGAGGAGACTCCCCCTTCCTTTCTGTGACCCCTCCCTTTGTGTGCCATCAAATCACATGACATACTGTGGTGTTGAATCACTCTTGGTCTAATCTTCTGTCAATCCTATCCTACCTGGCTCCTCAGGAAGCTGGAGGATGCTGAACAGAAGGGAGTCCTGTAGGACTTAACAGGGGAATGTGTTTTGTCTCATTCTAGACAGCATGACATGTCCAACTATTACCTGCATAGTGAAGTCTCTTTCCTGGCACTGGAGGAAGAGAAAGTTTGCTCCACTCAGGATGTTGCCAAGGATGACTCCAATTCCAAATGGGATGAGACCTCACTTGGCTTCCTAGGTAGGCTCCCTATTCTTTCCACCACACAATCTGTCCATAATGAGAGATGTCATACCTTCAGGAAGACACTATGCTTATATACTGGTTAGAACCAGGCTTTAGGATTTTGAAGGAAGGCATCCTAGGAGTCAGAGTTGTGCTCCATCCTCCTCCAAAACCACACATTGTCTTTCATCTTTGCCCCATTGTCAAATCACTGTACCCAAGGTTGACCTGACAAATTCACACCCACCTCTGCAGCCTGGGTGCAGGATGTAACCACCAGTCCTCCTGATTTAGATTTCATCTGTCACCTCACATGAAATCTTCTAATTTTCCCTCCCAAACAACCTGAGTTTCTCTGCCTGTCCAAGGCCACTGGCAGCCTTATATATATCCTTGGAGCTGTCATTACCCTCGTTCACTTCTCCCAGGCTAAACTCCCTCCCCTTTTAGCAGGCTTGTCTTAGCTAAGAAGTCTCTGAGTACCAGAACATGACACCACTATTAGATTTGGAGGCTGGGCCCTGGAACTCCCTGCCACATGAAAGGCCTAAGTTTCCATGTAGCATTAGAGATGCGTTTGATTTAATCTGTCCCTCTAAATGTACATTCCACAAAAACACCGAAAACAGCTTATCGGAAGGAAACATACTGAATACTGCAGTAACCTGCTAGGAAGCATTTAAGTAGATCTCCAGGATCTGTTAGTAAATAGGATATGGTTAACATTTTGCTGTGACTCAGGACAGAAGGGACTGTGATGATGACCTGTCATATCAGGGAGATTTGCTCCATGGCTCAGGAAAGCAAACCTAGTGACTTCTCACAAGGCTCACCCTGAGGCCTCCTGGAAAGTTTCTCTCACAATAGCCTGTTATCACACCGAGTATATTTATGCCCCTAGGTAGGTTTGGACACAAGGTTGTGAATGTATAAATGTGATGAAGTTCATCTGGCTGGTCTTCTCTTAATTTATTTACAGAACAGCGAAATGATCTTGAAGAGGTGAAAGGACAAGAAACAATTGATCCCAGGTAATTGAGAAAAATCAGGGGCTGTCTATTCAGGGGTGACACCTGTGGAACTCATATCCACAGAAAACCAGAAAGTCCTGAATATACCTAATTCATCCCTTCAGCCAACCAGAAATGATCCTTTCTAACCATGTTTTACATTTTTCATTGTGGTACTTGTAATGTTTGCCATTTCTTATTAACTTCTCAAGTTCAGTACATAAAACCAATTGACCTTGTGAACAACTAATCAGTCACACAGATTTCCTTAAAGTAAGTATCTTCTTCTTATGGTGTCCATCAGCCTGAGATGCATATTTGTTTTCTGCTGATTTTGCATTAGCACAGTGGTGAGTATTTCAAGGCAAGGAAATTAGGTAGAAAAAATTATTGTTATACCATGCACAATATTGAGAGAAAGAGGACTTGATGTCTTGCGATTTGGGGGATATTATAATGCCACAAAACCTATGTTTACTTGGCCACTGCACATAAAATTTAATACCACTTAAAAGAAAGGAATGAAACCACTGTTATGGAACAGGATATTCAGTAAGTCACGATTGTACCATACAGAGAGACTCAGTCTCCTTCCTCAGAAAATCGTGATCTGGGCAGTTCACTGAACTCCTGATGCTTCTCTCTCTCTCTCTCTCTCATCTCTCTTTCCCTCTCTCTGTATTGCAACCTACCCCATGGTAACCACACTGTGACCCACCACGAAGATATCAACGCTATTTGTGTGAAGGAAGTGAAGGCCTGTGTTAGTTCTCTCTGCTGCTGACCATGATATTTGATGACATAAATCGGTATTGCAACAACACTTCTGGAGAGTAGTTAGGGCAATTCTTGAATTCTTGTGAGAAAAGTTTTCT